GTGATTCATCGAGAAACAACCATGGCGGTTTCTTCTTCTTCGTTTCTATCGACGTCTTCACTCTCCAATTCCAAATCTACCATCTCATTCACTTCCTCCGTTTCCCCTACCCAAATCCCTTCTCTGCGCCGCGTCGTTTTCCGTTCCACGATTCCGGCGACATCTCACCGGAGAGTAATGACTGTCCGATCTAAGATCAGGGAGATTTTCATGCCGGCGCTTTCATCAACCATGACGGAAGGTAAAATCGTATCATGGATCAAAACCGAAGGAGAGAAACTCGCTAAAGGAGAGAGTGTTGTCGTTGTTGAATCCGATAAAGCTGATATGGAAGTTGAAACGTTTTACGATGGTTATCTCGCCGCGATTGTAATCGGAGAAGGTGAAACAGCTCCTGTAGGTGCTGCAATTGGATTGTTAGCAGAAACTGAAGCTGAGATCGAAGAAGCTAAGACTAAATCCGCTTCGAAATCTTCGCCTGTTGCTGAACCTGTTGTTCCATCTCCTCCTCCTGCTACTTCATCACCTGCGCCGGCGATTTCTCAGCCGTCGTCTCCGGTGGAGACGGTATCAGATGGTCCGAGAAAAACCGTAGTGACACCGTATGCTAAGAAGCTTGCGAAACAGCATAAGGTGAATATCGAATCAATTTCAGGAACTGGACCATTCGGTAGGATTACAGCTTCTGATGTTGAAGCTGCGGCAGGAATTGCTCCCTCTGTGGCATCGCCGTCTCCTCCTCCGGCACCTAAAGCTACTCCTCCGGTGACGGCAAAAACCACTAACTCGCCTCCTCTATTGCCTGGTTCAAGCGTTGTACCATTCACACCATTGCAATCTGCACTAACGAATGCTTTTATTGCGAGTCTCTCTATTCCAGCATTCCGTGTTGGTTATTCTGTGAACACCGATGCGCTCGATGCACTATACAAGAAGGTGAAACATAAGAGATAATATACACACATTTTTGTGTTTTGGATGTTGTATCAAGGAAAATGGTGTAAGATTGATTTTGTTTGTTTACAGGTGAAGCCAAAGGGTGTGACAATGACTGTGTTATTGGCGAAAGCTGTAGGGATGGCTCTTGCTCAACATCCTGTGGTGAATGCAATTTGCAAAGATGGGAAGAGTTGTACTTACAATAGTAACATTGACATTGCGGTAGCTGTTGCTATCGATGGTGGATTGATGACGCCTGTTCTACAAGGTGCAGATAAGGTAATCAATGAATCGAATGTAGCTAGCTTGTGATTGAACATGCTTCTAGTCTTAGCTTACTGAATGTGCGAGTCGTGTTGGTTTGTTTTATAGTTGGATCTGTACTTGTTAGCTGAAAAATGGAAAGACCTGTTGGGGAGAGCTAGAAAACTCCAATTACAACCTCGGGAATACAACTCTGGTACACTATAGTTGATGTTTAATAAAGGATTGTGTTGAGCTATGTAAGATTAAGGATGCATATATGTTTTCAATGCAGGAACTTTCATTTTGTCGAATCTCGGTATGTATGGAGTGGATAGATTTGATGCTATGCTGACTCCAGGAACGGTAATATGAAACTTTCAATAGCATCTTCAAGATGAGTGAATAGAAGTAATTTACTTATGTTTCTTATATAACTCAAAATTCTCTAGGGTGCCATAATGGCTGTTGGAGCATCAAAGCCAACTGTTGTTGCTGATAAGGATGGATTCTTTAGCGTGAAAAACACAATGCAGGTAAGTTTAACTCTTTATTTACTTCACATGGGAACAAAACTAGAAAATCGAGACTCGGGAACTTGGCTAAGAGTAAGAACTTTGGCTTTGGTGGCAGGTGAATGTGACCGCGGATCATCGGATTATCTATGGAGCTGACTTGGCTGCTTTTCTTCAGACCTTTGCAAAGATCGTTGAGAATCCAGATAGCTTGACTTTATAGACGCCGCCAATTTCGAAATATCAAACACCAAACATCATTGTTAAGACTTTTCTTGGTCTTTTTCTTCTTTGGCGTCTTGGTTCTCTTGTCTTATTGTGTCTGTATTTTTTTGACTTTTTTTGTGTCTTGTTTTTTCCGGGAATAATCATTTTGGGCATTTTACACAAATAAGTTGGGTTTAAATGGTAACCAGAATCGGCCTTTCGAAAACGCGGCCCATGAGGCCTTTTGGTTAATTGTTTTGGAGTTCAATGCCTTTACATTTATTTGTACTCGAGTAAATCTCCCAAATTGTAAATTTAAAAAGAACCAACCTCACTTGAATATTCCCAATTGTAGTTAGATAATTGTATTTTTCCGAAGTAGCTAGTATAGGTTAGGGGTTGGATAAATAGCTAGTCGTTTTGGCTTAATATCTTCAACATATGCTAATTTATTTATCAAATTGAGAAGTTACTAAGTGGTTGGGTTGGTGGCTAATGGTTTTGAAAGTGATTACTCCAAATTATTAGTTTAATTTTATTTTGAAATGATGATTTACGTCTTAAACTTAATATTATTAATGGCTAGTCTATTCTTTTATATATGAAGTAAAAAAATTCTACGTGGCACTCTCTCATCGATTTAAAGGTGGTTAATTATTGTCCTACCTTTAACAAATTTGATAAATTTTCACCCTTGCCATCGAACTAATTTGTGCTTGATTTTTAATTGTTTTAGTATAGATTTCGTTCAGCCCATTATCCTATACAATATTCGTTCGGATTTTATGTAAATATTCCATCATTATATAAACGTATATAGGAAATATTCTTAGTTTTAATTATTTGGCTAGATATTATCTTATAGTTGTAGTTGAAACCCTAGCTTATTTGTGTATATATACATTCATACGTTCTCTCTACCCATTGCATATAAGAATTTATGGTTTTCTCACCTCTCTCTATTGTTATAATAATTTAGTGGTTTCTTACGAGTTTTCGTTATTGTTTGTTTTCTTATTTGCAGGTTATCGTTTTCTTATTTGCAGGTTTTCTTGTTTTCGTTATTGTATTCTTACTATTTTTATGATTTCTGTTTATGGTGTTTTGATATATTATCAATATCGATAATGAAAAAACTGCACAAGACTTAGAATATCGATTATTTATTATTATACGTTGTTAAATTTAGTTTTCATGTCTCTGATCTTTTCTTCATTTTGTTTAGGGCGTTTTGGAGCTCAAACGTATGGAAACTTATTAATGTTATGGACCCATCCCAAGGGTAGGGTTTGTTATTGATTTCTTTGACTTATTGTTTAAATTATTTTCTTATCCAATATATTGTTCATATTCATGAGTTTTTCGTTTTTGTTACTTCTAGATTCGTCATAGGTTTGGGTTCGTAGTTTATGGTTTTTTTAATCAATTTATCATCATCGTATTTTCGTGTCTAATATGATCATGTATTCTAATCACTACAAGAAAACAGGGCCGTTTCCGACGGCCAAAACCGTCGGAAATCCGTCGGAATAAGCCCTATTCTGACGGCTTGCCGACGTTTTTGGTCCGTCGGTTCTATCTCGTTAGAAATTAAAAACCGTCGAAAATCCGTCAGAAATACTGACGGATTTCCGATGGAAAAGGAATAACTGGAATCCGTCGGAAATCCGTCGGAATCATTGCCGACAGATTTCCGACGGGCAGAACCTCCGATGAATTTCCGACGGGCAGAACCTCCGATGGATTTTCGACGACCCGTGTCACCGACGGATTTCCGACGACCCGTGCCACCAACGGATTTCCGACGACACGTGTCACCGACGGATTTCCGAAGGCCAAAACTTCCGACGGATTTCCGACGGTAGCAAAACCGACGGAATTATTATTATTTT